GCTTTTGAAGTTGATTCTTGACCTGTGACTGTGAGTTTTTAATTTTCTGATGATTTTTATTGATTTTCTTTTCGTAATTTGTTTATTCTTTTGAATGTATCTTGTTTTTCCTGGACCTCTATACAAAACCATAGGGGTACTGAGGGAGATATTTTAAGCTTTTGCTTCTCCCTCAAATAGAAATGGTTTTGTTTTTAATGGCTACCGGGGCCGGTACCCCCTGAAGACGTCGGCTTCGGTGGTCGTATTTTTGTTTTATTTCATTTGTTTTGTATTGATACTTTTTTCTGAAATTTCTGCTGTTTTTTAGCGCGTTTTTTTCAAAGAAGTTTTTTCCTTTTGATCTTAATTATTTGTGTTTTCTTTCAGTATTCACTCAACTATAAAAGCTATACATTCCTACCATCATTGTTTAATATAAGCTTATCGATATTCTTTTGTTAAAATATAAGTTAAGAACACGTATTTGTAATTAAATAAAATAATTTTTTTTTCTAAAAGCAACAGTAGGACCATGTGTTATCATTTTAATTATTATTATTTTTAAATTAAAAAAAATTTCAAAACTTTACAGTCATTTCATACAGTTTAAAGTTTTTCTTCAATTCAATTTTTTGTTTTTGTGCAACTGAACTATATTTCAGAGCAATAAACAGAAAATCTTTGCTTTATTGAAAGATTTTATAAAATGGTCAGCGACATTAATGCATATCACACAAACACACAGCAGGGATGCACCTTTCTTCAAACTTTCAGCTCCGGCAGATTTAAAGAGAACGTCCAGTTGTTTTGTTTCCTCAGGATCGAACATATGGCTCCCAGTTTTCTACCAGAATATTAATTTCCATTTGCATTGTGCAGCACCCAATCTCAAAAATCAATAGCTCCTTCCTGGTAGATAAGCTTGTTTATCCAGCAGGCGAAGCTAAAATTATAAGAGAAAAAAGTTAACTTTACATTGAAAACATTAAGCATTGAATATTTCTTTAAAACTTAAATCATTTCATTTGAAAATGTTTACAATTTAATGGGTAGATTTCCGTAACAATACCTGCATCAAAAAATCTCAGTATCACCGAGCAAGAATAGAAAAATATTTCACTTATAACCGCTTTCAAATAATAATTTAATATCTTTCTTAATTATTATTATTTTTTAAAAAAAGAAAAAAATTATAGTTCAAAACGCTTAAGCCCTTTTCAATTGAAATGAATATTCAAGTATATATACAGATACAGAAATATATCAAATTCAACACTTTAAGTATGACACTTAACTATTAAAATATTTCTGTACATTGTATAAGCTCATAGAGCCAATAGGAAATGTTCACATTTTTTTTAAAAAACTTCATAAATAAAAATTTTAACACCTTTTAAGCACTGTTCTTCATTTAACGTAAACACGCTTTGAATAAACCATATTGTTGCTTATTTTTTAACTATTTGCTATCATTTATAAATTAATATAATTAATCATATATCAAAAACATCTGTCTATATTCATGAAATGAAAATAAAGATATTTAACTCATCATTTCACAATATATAAGGAAATTAACAATGTAACAGTGTTCGACTTGGGAATAAAATTTCAAACATTCTAAAAAGCAATGGTTTTAACTAAAAAGTAATTGATTAATTAATAATTATTTTAACATGGCAAACTTGTTTATTAAAAATTTATTTTTATCTTTATCATGCAATGAAAAAAAATTCAAACTATAAAACTCTTTGTGACAAGTCAACAAAAAAAGTGGCGAAAAGTGTTAAATAAACAATTGCGTATTTTCTTCCATAACACCTGAAATACGCTTTTAAGTTTACGCAATGCTTATTTTTAACACCATGATTAATGTAGTTTAGTTTCGATATAGCTTCCATACTATACCAACTATCAACAACAGGCATACATAAATAGCCATTCTCACTAAAGGCGGTTCACGGATCTTTGATCGACATCGAGGAAATATGAGTAAAATTTTCCCGTGTAGAAATTTTCTCGCTATTTCTCGCGATAGTGGTCTACAGTGAGACAATTGCATACAGTGAGAATGCTCTCTAAGTGATATGCTCACTGTATCTGACTGTTTTAAGCGCCATCTATAATTTAGAAAAGGTTAACTTTTCATAATTTGCATTAATGACAAAAGCCAGCTACTTATCAAAATAAAAATAACTTCGACTTTCATTTTTCTGCTGTTGCTTCTTAAAAGTTTGTTTTTGTAATCAAATCAAATGGCAGGTGAAAGTGAAGAGAATAGTTTACAGACTTTCTCTCCCAAAAATGAGAGTAGTACAACGAGTCAAGTTAATCTTCATGCACTCAGACAACGAGTGCGAAAGTATATTGAAATGGTTAGATACTTTTTGACATACATATTTTATACTGCCAAAACGTAACTTACAATTCACCGGTTAACTGTAGATTTTGTAATTATTCTGTTCATTTAATCTTACACGAACTGGATTCCCTTATTCTAATTTTAAGCATAATTTATTGCCACTCACTGTAGTTATTAGTTTTTTATTTTCTTACTCATCATAAAACTAGATTTCTAATCAATTGACCTTTCTGCTTTCTGTTACAATAGATAAATTTTGAGCTTTCAGTATTAATACATTCAATTGTAGTATAATTTGGTCTTTATAATGGTAAACTTAATTTTTTATAATACCAGATAAATCTTTTTTTTTCTATACCATTTCTTATTGGTTTAATAAATGTTTTCAAAATTTCTTGTTATTAGTTGTTCAAGTAAAAAAAATTGTTTTCAAAAAGTATATAGCACATTAAAGGTGTTAGAGATAAAAAAAAGAAAATTTTCTTTTATTGCTTCCTGTTTTAGCATTGTTTTTTAAATATTTATTTCTTAATGTGACAAAATTTTTTAAGCATAAAAGGTGAACATATCACTGATGGAAGGAGGCAGTTTTGTTTTGAGGGGCTCAATGTGAATTTATGATTACAGCTAAATAGATTATTTAATGTCATTTTGAGATATCATTACCTTTTTTTGTACAAAAGAGATGTTTTATTTAATCGTAGCTGTACTAAATATTTTTTCTATTTTACTTTTATATAATTAGGTTGACTTAATTATATTTTTAAACGAGATTACTTATTTCATATTTTTTAAAAATATTGAAAAAAAATTTATTAACCAAGTATTTTGTTTAAACTGCAATGTGATATTGATGAATTTGTTTTCAAGTAAACAATTTTAAAATTTTATGCACGAGTTGTTTTAATCATAATTAGTTTAAAAAACTTTTCCAACATTAGACATATTTTGAATATCTTAAAAATAAGACTTAAAATGAATTAATCTTTTTAGTTGCTTGCTTATTATTATTATTATTTTTAGCAACGGGATGTTGTTTTGACATTTAAAAGATTGGGAACCTATGTCTTATGCCAATGAAAAGCAATAAGTTCTTTAACTTTGCAAATGAATAACTCCATTAAAAATATGTTCAATTTTATATTTTTTTTAGAATTTTACTTACAATGTAATCTTCTACAACATTGAATTATAATAATACATGTTTGTAGTAGGTGACTCAAGCAAGTACGAAAGTTACCAAAATAACTGTAGAAAGCTCTAAGTCTGTTAATTGATTAGAAAGAGAAATAATTCAAAGACAATATATATAATATGCATTTTCCTCTTTAAAAAATTCAATTTAGATTATTATAGTTTTTATTATATGCAGTTAATTATTCCTCTTATGTTATAGCTTAAAAAAGTTTACAGACGATTAAAACAATATCAAATTACAAGCCACTTTTCTTCTATCCTAGTTTTGCTATTAAAGATTTTGCATTATTTAAATGCAAGTTTGTTACTATGGAACTTGTAAGTAAAACTTGTAATGTCTTAATATGGAACTTGTAATAAAATAGTCTTTAAGAATGTAATGTAACTAGTGTTATTTTTATTGTCAATTAAAGTTGTTAATAAAAATTTCTCACAGTAAAATATGTATAGTAGGTACATTCAATAGTTAATTAGAATACCTTGCTCTTAATATAAATTTTACAAGCATAGTAAATGTCTTAATAAGTTTTAAATATTTGTTAAAGTTCTAGTTGAAGTCTAGCAAGTTTTCTAAATTTAAGATAAAAATTTCTTTGATAGTATTCACTTTGTAGGCTACAAATTAATTTCATCAGGATTATCAAATCATTTACTATAAAAAAGTATAAAATAAATAAAAATTAATATCCCTAAGTGCTTAGGAATTCATTATGCAAAAACAAAATTTATGTACTATTTTGTTAATTGTTTTTTTAATTTTCTTCTATTATAAATATTTTTAGCATCTGTATCAAGCGGCAATTTTTTGGGCTGATAAAGTAGCGTCACTGTCAAATGGTATGAATCACTTTTATGTCTTAGGTGTCTATTTTGTTAAAATGTTTTATGTGAAATAAAAANTAATGGCTACCGGGGCCGGTACCCCCTGAAGACGTCGGCTTCGGTGGTCATATTTTTATTTTTTTTTTTATTTCATTTGTTTCTTGTATTGATACTTTTTTCTGAAATTTCTGCTGCTTCTTAGCGCATTTTTTTCAAAGAAGTTTTATCCTTTTGATCTAAATTATTTGTGTTTTCTTTCAGTATTATGTGAATTAAAAATCTTTTATTATTATTTTTTTTTTTTAATTTCATTTTATTTTGCAAATATTTTAATAAAAATTACCTGTAGTATAAGTTAAGTTATGCAATTTAAGTGTCTACATTAATTACATAATACAAAAATACAGTTTAGGTGTCTTTGTAGTATACAATGAATTAATACTTTTTGGTTAATGATAAAATTTATGTCCTAGTTACAAATTTTAAAACTTCAAATGATTAAATTAATACCCAATTTTTTTAAAAACCTCAGTGAACATCCATCATAAATTTATTTGCGTGTTCTGTAAATAGTTTTTGTGTGTAGATATAGGTAGTTGTGAAGTTTTGCTGTTGTTCCATATAAAGTTAATGTTTTAGTTTTTGTTAAAATTGTGATTTTTTAAAAAAAAAATTTCTATTGTATTATCACTTTATTATTTAAAATTTTCTATTGTTACGTACAAGGAATCTAAAGCAGTCCAGAAAGTTAAAGGGATTATTTAGGAAACTTCACAGGTACAGGGAACAAAGCAACTCTCGTTTCCTCTTTAAACACCTAAACTTTTCTAGAACTGAGTAAGGGAACAGAAAATGGTGAATTATACATTCTAGAAACTTTTAGGAGACACAGGAATAATAAAGAAAAATTTAGATTGCACTTTCTTCGAGTTGTGAGTATCTCGAACTTAGTATCTCGTTCTCGCAAGGAGGACAATTCTAACCACTCAGCTACGCTGACATACGTCAATATGCAATGCCCTGTACATTAAATATGACTATTTAAAATTTATAAACTATAAAGCATATCAAAATTTGCTTACATGTTTTTGTAAAGTTCAAATAAACATGAATGTCTACATTTTGTCATAAGTTGAATCACACAATGAATATCCACATTTTTTCACAAACAAGAAGGAAATATTACTCTTTGGCATTCATGCAGACAATGATGACATCAAATTTCATAAACTGTTAATGGAATTTTCTCAAAATAGCATAACTTTTCCTTCTAGTAGACACAATAAATTCATTTCTTTTCTACTAATTCAATTAAAGCTTTAGCATCTTTTGTGTAGCTAGTTAGTTCTTTATTACCTTTATTGTGTTTGATTGACTAGTTGAATAATAAACTTTTGTCCATGCTATATTTCATACAAAGCTAATTTTTAATTTTTTACAAACTCTGTTCTGCAATACCAATAATAAGTTTTAATCAAAATAGATAAGAACTAGAAAAACAATATTATGTGCAAATATTAAAAAACAATGTTTTTAGAAAATACTGTGTAAAATTTATTGCTGAAGAAGAGAAAAACCTTCCATCCCTTCTTGTTTTAGTAATTTTAAGAGGAAAATGTTTTTAAATGTGCATAGTAAAAAAAATTATAAAGATAAAAAAATAGATAAAGATAAAAAAAATTATAAAAAGATATTTAGAAGATTTAATGATACTGCTTCTCTTAAGAGCCTTACTAATATTTTTTTATAAATAAATATAATCAATGCAAATAATCTATATCAATATTTATTCTGTTCTTTTTTCCAAGATGAAGCCAATGATATATTTTGGCTTGCACAAAGCTTATATTACAGTGGGCAGTACCACAGAGCTGCCATTTGTATCAAATCTAGGACTTTACACAAGGTAAAATATACTGTATTCTCTTAGAGCATCTAATTAGTTAATTAAATATAATAAAAAGGATTAACCCTTTTTTATATATATTCTCTTTAGACTGATGTAGAGTGCCGGTATTTAGCTGCTAAATGTCATGTAAGTCACTAATTTTGATGTATCTTGTATCTATATTATATATGTATATCAGAATGGTCATGGAATAATGTCAACTGCTTAGAGATTAATTTTTTAAAGAATTACTTGATTACTATTGGCTAACTATGAATTGGGCTAACTATGAAAGCATTGATGAAGGGAAACATGATCCAAAGCTGTGTTTCTTTAATAAAAATCATTATTATTGCACATTAACCCGTAAACCGTAATTAAAACCGTATAATTTGACATTTGACTTTCAAATTTAATTTTGATACTGTAGTTTCTTGGTAAAAAAGCCTTATTTATTTATAATATTTTGTCCTCTTTTTTTTTTATATATGTTTGATTTTCTTATTTTAATATATAATGACACTTGAGTTTGAAGAGTATAGCCACTTTTCTCTTTCTTTTTCTATTTAAACCTTCATTCACTCCAATCCACTTAAGCCCCTGACATAATTTTATTATCACTTTGAAATTTTAAATATCTGTTTAATTTGTTATAAAAACTTAAATTTTCATGCAGATTAATAAGCAAGGTGTTTCGAAAGTAAAATTGTATACTAAATTGATCATCTGCTTAATGAATATACGATTCTGCTTAAAGAATATATTATTCTTTTTTTTATTTTTTAATTATTGTGTTTTTATACTGCATAGTTTCAATTATTGTGTTTTTATACTGCATAGTTCAGCAAGAAATTAAGACATGATTCATTAAATTAATTCACTTCTATTTGAACAAAAGAAGTTATGTTCTTTTTGTTTGATAAAAATTATAACACACTGAATGTGAGGACTAAAACAATTTCTTGTTTTTTTCCTTTTATATTTTTTTTTAAAAATAAAAAAAAAAAAAATTTTTTTTAAATAACTGAACTATTTTAAAAGCATAGGAACAACAATTTTTAGTCTTGTAATAATTTTTATTTGTTTTGAAACGAGACTATAGTACAACCACCACTCTTGAAAGTAGATATTCAAATATGGGTCTTTTTACTGTGGTACCCATATCTTATATTTAATCATGTGTTTTTGGAAGTTTTCTAATTTTTCCTTTTGTAACCGACGTTCAAATGTTAATTACTATTTAATATTTTTTATAGCTTTTAGTTGTTGTCATTTATCAGGAGACAATTTGTATATCTTAGAAACTCATAGATAGTAGTAATGCAAATTTTCATTGGTAGATATTAAGGTGTTTCTCTGACATCAACACTAGACTGAAAAAAAAGAGAACAAAATTGTCATTTTTCAAACTTTATTGAAATGTTCAATTTTTCAAAATTTCCCAGACTTACTTTATCAAATTAGTTTGTGACTCTGGAAAAATTGGACCAGGGTCTTTTGTTTCGTTGTGGGGCTTTTCGTTAGTTCTTTACAGAAGTTGAGGTATTGGGAGGCAAGATCATTCAAGGCAATCAGTCACTTGTAAAACAATTCATATCAATTCATTCATGGATCATAAGGCAATCAGTTTGGTCTTGTTCTTAGTTCTACAGCTTGAACCTGTATTGATATCTTTTTAATTCTGCGTAACTTTTTACCTAGTCCTTATTGAAAAATTACTAAATTAGTTGTACATGCATTATATTTTATGAGCAGTAAATATTGAAGATAATAAAGCTTTTCTACATTTTACAGAAGTTTTATTAGAAGTCACTTGTAAAACAATTTTTCTTTGACAAGTGACTGTATTTAAGTATTGAGCTATTTGGTCAAATTAATAAAAATACTTTCTTCTCAAATACTGTTTCTCCATTGGCTAACAAGGAGGAAAACTGATGGTAACTCTGCAGGTCCTATTTTGAATTGAGTTCAGGGTCGATACTTAAAGAAAGTATTCTATTTGCTATAAGTTTGGCTTTTCATATTTATTAATTATTTTTCTCTACCTCTATTTGTAACTATTGCAATAATTAAGGATATTCTATTTCCCATACATTTATTTTTATTTAATTGTTAATTTTTTACATTATTTATTTACAATATGTTCCGTCTAATCCTTTTGTCTAATTTGTTCTCTTTATTTATGTTTCGTTAATGAATGTGCATAGTTCTTCATTACCATAAGAACGTGATTGATTTGATATGATCAATAATTATTTTTCTTAGCATTTTAATTCATACTAATTTAATAACTTTAGTTTGCAGGCAAAGAATATAAGGAAGCATTAGATGTTCTTAATGTGGCATTAGATGACAATATTATGAGCAAGTCAGAAGATGAGAATTTAGTGTCTGACTCAAATGATGCAAACCTTGTAATTTTTTCTTCTTTTTTTACTATTATAATTATATCAAAAATAAGTTTTATTTGAAATTTAATCTATTCTTAAAAAATTTATTATTTTATATGTCGCTGCATGAAAGTTTGAAGCGAAAAGACAATTTGTTATTTTAGTAAATATTTTACTATGTTAATTATAAATTTGCGCTAGCAAGGAATTGTTCCAAGCACTGTAGTAAATAAATAAAATTGATAGTTTCTCATTTAAAAAAATATTTTTTGCAATATAAATTAGTTTTAAAGATGAAAGGTCTATTTTATTTTGCTAAGTTTAAAAATTGGGCAGATTAATAAAAATACTTTTTAAAAAATTCTACATCTGGTTGATAGTAAGCATTAAATACTGCCTGGTGATATATATTTTTTTATTTTTCTCTAATTGTGATATTGAAAGTTAGCTGCACTGCTAATATCTGCTTCATAAAAGATGAAGAAAAAATGTGATGAGCTTGCTTAGACAGATTTCTAATAATTAATCATAAATCTAGTCTTTTACTAAATCATCATTCTTCAACATGTGTTGAATTTAATTGACAATTTTTGTGAGTGAAAATAAAATATTTTGTAAATATAGCTAAAAGATGAAAAGTTATAAAAGCAAACAGACAGAGAAATTTATAAGTATTTTAAAAATTATTTAAAAAATTAATAGCCATGATAAAAGTTTATTTTCCCACCTGCTTAACATTTATATTATTAACTGCACTGCTTAACATTTATGAAAGTATTATGAAAGAATAATTTTATTAAACACATCAAATTAATAAATCCAAAACACACTTTCATCTTAAAGAGAATATTTTTAAGCACCATAATTGTTATTTTAATTATTTTGAAATGATAATTGTTAAGTCTTGCCAATGTTTATTGGGAAAAAAATTAACTTTGATGAATGATACTTCTTCCATATAGCCTGTTTATTGAAGATTAAGCTTGAATTAAAAGTTGACACTTTGTAATAATGTGAAAAACTAATGTTAATCAAGAGATAAAAAGTCTGTTGTTGATAAATTTATTTTTTAAATAAAAAACTACATAAAACTAATTATCGTTAGTTTCATTTGTTGCCTACTATTCAAATTTTGTAACGATTCTATAAGTCAAATAAAAATGTCTCCTTTTTTACTTTATAGAGTAGTGCCATTTTGCTGTTAAAAGGTCAAATCTATGAGGCAATGGATAATAGGAATCTTGCTTCTGAATGTTTTAAAGATGCTCTACAGCTTGACGTCTTTTGTTATGATGCTTTTGATTCTCTAGTCCAACATCAAATGTTAACAAAAGATGAAGGTATATTTTTAAAAATTAATATTTTTGTTTCAAGTTATGTTTTTTTTCCTTTCATTATGGATCATTTTTGCTTTAAGCAAGTAGCTAATGTATGTTAGGGGTAGAGATTGGCTTGTATCAATGTATCTGATATTTTGTTCTTTAAAGTATTTAGTACTGCAAAGGGATACATCGTGAAATTAACCTTGGTATCAATTAAATTTCAAAACAATAAGTTTGGTAAAGCTCCTAGAACTTCTAAAAAATAAAAATCTTAAAAACTTTGTGTCTAAATGGCAGCACCAAAAATGTTTGTATCATTTATCGATTTCAAATGAATCCAACAATAAGTTCTTTTAGAAGCAGTTATAAGTATTCAGTTTTGTGTACCAATGAGGTAAGCCTGTAAAAAGTAGCAGATACTTTTTGATTCATGATTTTGATACTTTTGATTCATGATTTTGATAGATTTGTGAATCGTTTTTAAAACTGTTATTGATACAATGGATTAATCCATTTTGGATCTAGTTTCTCTTTGTACTTAGTATTAATGTCTGTAGTCAGTTTGCTTTGGTTCATTCTTAGGACTTTGATTTCTAAAGCAGTAACAATCTTAGTAGTTCCTTAAATAACTTGATTATGTGTTTGCATTTTACTATGATTTATCATGCATTTTTTTGCTCATTTTGCTTAATTATGTGTAAATTTTACAATATTTATTTTGATATGAACAGATAAAATGTTATGTTATTTTTTTTCGTTTGAACATCAATCAGATTTTAATGTTTGGAAAAAGTATAACATTATACATGGGGAATAATTTTGTTTAATTAAATATACTCACTTTATTATCGTTTCTGAAAATATTCGCGTTTAAAATATGTTTTATGCATTATTTATTTTTCAATAAAATATAACCTATTATAGATTCTATTTTGTTTCTTTGCAGATTATCATAATTCATAAAAATGAGTCTCGATATGTTTACTTTTCGTGTTAATTAAGTCAAATTGCATTATAATTTTTTTTTGCGAAATTACGAAAGAATTTCTTTAAATATTATAGCTAAACTAATTATATATATATATCTAAAAAAAATTTACTAAGTATTTTGACAAAAATTGCAAAACATGTTATATGCATTATATATTAAACAAAATGTACACTATTGCAGATTCTATCTTATTTCTTTTTTACTAACTTCATTGAAATGTTTTTTAAAAGCAATTTAGAGGAATAACTTGTTTTAATTTGATTCCCAAAATATTTTCTCTTGAACTAGCTGAATAATTTAGATTCATTTCAATTATCCTAGAAAACAAAAATTGCTTTGTTTAGTATTTCATTAACTTCAATAAAGTAGTGATGATAAAAACCTGCTAAATATGTTATTTATATATATTTTTTTAAACAAAATATGTTTGATTTTTATTAGATTCATCTCAAATGCTGAAAATTATGTTAAAAAAAACAATGGTATTTTTAATTTATGATTTTTCATTTCCTCTATAAATTAAGATTATTATGTATCTAAAAGTGCCAGTTACAAAGTATCAGTTTGTAACTGATACCAAATATTTTGTACCCATCTCTAGGTAGGGGCACAGAACATTTTTAAATGTATGTATGATGCAAAAGAAAAAAAATAGTTTTCTTTAGAGGGCCATAAGGCATTCAATTCTTATAGTATATATATCCAATAATGAATAATGAATTTTCGAAATTTTTATTTAGTTTATGAACAATATAAATCTGTCTTGAAAAATAGAAGGGGAATTCAGCAGTTAAATGTGTTTGCAACAAATATTGGTGGGGTCTTATGTGTGTGTTCAAAAATTTTATTTAATATAAGAAACAGCAAAGCGTCCTTGGTGGACTGGAGCGGAGCGGTTGAACCATGTGATTCTCTGTGCAGAGAGAAAGAGAATGAACGGTAAATTCTCGTGCCGCAGGATGCACGCCGCCTTCACCCACTCACGATCTTTTAGAATATCATGTGGGTGTTAAGTAGTTTTCTTAGAATTGAACACATCTTATTTAGCATTAACAAATATGTATATTAGTTTTTAAGTGAAAATTTAGCAGTTTTGCACTTTTTGTCTTCTTTACATATAAAATAAAGAGTTTTTTCTTTTTAAGAAATTAAGTTTGGCAAGGGTTTTCCTTGTGAAAAAATTATTTTATAATTTTCTATTGTACATAAACTACTTATATCTTTAATTTTTTTACCAATGGATAAATGAGATTCTTTGGATTTTAGAATCTTAGTGCTATAAATTACTGCAATTAGTTTGAAAGCAATTTTAAACTTTTCTTTTTCATGTTATGTAGTTTAACAAATTTTCAGGAACAAAGACGGGCATGTTGACCATTCATATGCTGCACGTTATTATATTTAAAGGAATAGGTTATTCTTTTTTCAAAAATTAAATTAGTTATAGGTTTTTTTCTCTTGAAAGTTATATTTATTTCTTTATTTTTCTTTGAAGAAAAACAAATATAGTTTTGCTTTCTATTTTAACCTGGGAGATTTATTAATATTTTGTTAGAAGAAAATGCATAGTAACATCAAATGTTTTATCTGGATATTGAACATTACAATGACAGGGTGGCCTCAAAACATGAAGAACAGGGAAAAGTTAGGAACTTTTATCAGTCTGGAAAAATTATATCTTGGTCTAAATTTTCCTAAATAGTAACATTTAATGTTGCATTATGGATTAGGACAATATCTTTCTAGGTCTTGCTTACATGAATTGATTAAAATATTTAGCATTGAGCTATATTTATCATTTTAATATTTAATTGCTTCTCAATAATATGCAAACAATTCATAGTTAAGTTTTAATATTCCTTTTTAACGCTGGTAATGTTTACCTTAGCAATATTGGTAATTATTTTTGCTGTCACATAGTGTTTTATTAAATTATATTAATCTCCAAAAGCAGAACCTAATATACATATTTTATTTTTATTTTCTTAGCAAATTTTATGTTTTTGATTTTATGTGTTATGTTTGGAAGAACTTACTAAAAGGTTTTAATAAAAGCAAGTACTATAAGTCTCATAGTATATGAGCATGTTACATATCCCTTTTAATACATCTTTATCAATAGTAAAAAGTTTTCTCGGAATTTTTATTTCATCTATTTAATCTAAATTTATAAATAGTATTTTTATTTACCTAGTAAAGCTTAATAATATATTTCTTTAATTGTTTCAGAAATTGAACTTATGAATTCACTGCCATTTGATGCTCAATGTCCAGAAGATGAGCCTAATATTACAAAATTTTTGTATGAAACGCAGTTGAAAAAGGTAAACCTTATTCATGATGTCTTGGTTATAAAAGTACAGTAATATTTGGTTAGTTAGTATGATTTATTTCTTGTTCATCTTCTAAAAAAATATATGCCTTTTTATTTATTTGTTTTTAAGTCTGCTATTTTCTTTAATGTCTAGTTAATAGTTTTTGCTGACGTTAAAAGTTAAATCATGTTTAGTTTCTGTAACAAAGAATACCTTTTTTCTAATTTAAAGCTTTAAGTAATCTTTGTTGAAGTTTTTATTTTTATTTTTTTCAGTATGATAAACCTAATGAAATGGTTATTCCAGCCGAATTAACACTTCTCGCTAGTAATCTTGATGTTGGTACAGCATTAGCTGAAAAGTATTATTATAACTGTGATTACGAGCAGTGCTTCACTATAACAACCTCGTAAGCATTGATAATCTTTTTACTATAGCTTTCTTTCATAAATATTTAATTAAAAAAAAATTTTCTTTTTAAATAATAATTCTTATTTCTTTATGTAGTATTTTAAACAAAGATCCCTTCCATTTGCAATGTTTACCTATTCATATATCCTGCTTGATGGAATTGGAAAAGACAAATGGTAAGAACAGTTACATTGTACTTTGGTTTTGTGAAGAAATTATCAATACTTATTTGTTTTTTTAGGAGTAAAAATTAGTTACTCTTAATGTTAGGGATCGGTTAATATGTCAAAATTGTACCTAGATATTAATTCTGATGACAATTTAAATTTATAAAATGATTAATTTGTGAAACAGTAGATAAGTTTATTATATTCATAAGATTATCTTGATTTTATGTATGCTAGTAAGGTTTTTTTTAGCAAAGCAACATCCTAAGTTTCACATAGTTGTTATACCTAAAATCATTAAGTTTACCTTTTTTTTTTAAATTAAAAAAAAAGAATACCATAGTTTGTTAGTTCTATTATAGTCATGCAATATTTGGTCAATTTTATTTTTATGCTATTGTTTTAAATATTAGTAATTTGTTTATCTTGTTTACAAAGGAATTTTTTATTTTAATCTGAATCATTTTAAATAATAGTTTTACCTAGAATTTGTACAAGTGAATAAGCTCATCCTTTAAATTAGTTTCATTAACACAGCTCAAGTGCATTAAATTTATATTGCTTTAATAACTGTTTTTTTTAATTATCTTATTTATTAATTTATAATTATTATTTCTTTTTACTGTTTTACTCTTGATAAGTTAACATGAAAATTTTCATTTTTAGTGACAGTAAGAGCTTTGCCTTGTGTTTACTGATTAATTACTTTAATTTTTTATTAATTAATGACATTTACTTCTATTAAAAGATTTTGCTATTTGTCTCCAAATTATTTCTAGGAATACTGCGATTTAAAATTTGAATGAATGAGTCTAATTTTTACTGCTCATCAACTTAATATGAGTTTACACTTTTTTTTTCAAGACTTTATATATTTAGACGAAAAATTTTTTTAAATCTATCCATGAGGTTTTTAATTGTTAATGTTTTAGTGGATGAAATTCATTAGTTTTGCGGAATTTTTTTTAAAAAACATGTATGAGTCATTTGCAATTTTAAATTGGTATCTAAACCTGATATCACGAAGAAATTATCTGCAAAGGTTGTTTGCCTTAATTATAGCTTTAAATATTTTTTTAAGGCAATGATAATTAATATTTGTTAACACTTTAGGGACATTTTTGCTTTTAAGCCACTGTCTGAAACTGTCATTTCCATATTCTAAGACATCATAACTGAGTATGTGTTTTTCAAACACCTTGATGTTGGCATTTTTAATGTTGTGCTTATTTTAAATTATAACCTTAACCTTCCATTGATATTCAAATTTTAATTCAAAACTTCTAAATAAATCATTCAACAATTTTACATGTATGTTCGTGGTAATTAACTTTTTAATAGATCATAAACAAAAAAATTAAATTTGTTTGGTTCGCTTAATTGAAGTAAAAAGTTGATTGTCATGAAGTTGAAGTTGATCTGCTTTCAGAAATGTCTGGTTCTATACTTTTACAGGGTTCCCACGGTCCTTGAGAGTCCTTGAAAGTCCTTGAATTTTTTTCTGCTAAATTTAGGTCCTTGAAAGTGCTTGAAAAACGTCTTAGGTCCTTGAAAAACTTGATAGGTCCTTGAATTTGTCCAATACTGCCGGCGGCCCTTTTTATAAACCCCCCGCGGATCTTTCTCGTTCTTTCTGTTTTGTTCCCGAGCTCTCTCACGTGATTTTTAACGCCACCGTTTCTAACCGGGCCTAGCGTCTTGGTGTCTGCCAAGCGCGCGGAGCACAGCAGACAATCAATGCGTTCGGGGCGAGACTCCACTTCATCTTCTGTCGCATATGCTTAGATCTTCTTTTTTCTTATCGAAACTGGAATAATCTGTTGAC